CTTGGCCGTACAGTCTAGCTTTTTTACTAAGCCTTTTATGTGGCACCTTGTGATAGGCTTTCTGAAAATCCAGTTACAACAAATCTACACTCCTACCCTCATCTACATAAGCAGTAACCTTTTCAAAGAATAGCCTATGGTATAAATGTAGAAACCTAACATCTCAAGGCCAAGGACGATGCAAATTAAGCGTAATGATGTTTAAGATTTAAAGAAACAATATCTAAGAAATTAGTGAAACGGCTCTGAATCAGAGCCGGTCTTTATACCTGTTTGCAATGATAGACAAATCTACCTTATTATCCATTTTGATAGTGGTGCTCTCGTGACCTGCGGTGCAAGAAGCTTCAGCTCACCGATCTCTTAGTTTCTCCCGTTCAACATATCATGAGAGTGCCTTTATTACTGAAGGAAATAGAGATGCGAACTGATCAGACCTACGAGAAGGAAGCAATCACCAGCATCCTTGAACTAGAAGAAAACTCCATACGTATGTTCCAAATATATTTTTAATGATCTGTGACTTTTTCAAGTATCATTCACATTTTATTCTTCGAGCATAAATCTCACGAAAGCACAGAATTTTTGTGCGATTTTTCACTCCTCGGGAATTTGACAAGACTTGCGATACAAACTGTCTACCTTATTTTTTTGTTTTTTAGTGAGGTTACAAGTGGTGTGTGAAAACAACGGAATTAGTTATAACTTGTGTTTTAGGCCTCTCTAATATCGCATCAAGATTCAAACTCTTTGATTCAACGGTTACTCGGAGTAAGTATCTACAAAATATCATTCCACCTCAATAGTGCCTAATATCACAGTACTGCTGTTATTACTGTCGAGACACACACACACACTATGCTTTCATTAAGTTTGACTGCAGTGGTTGTAATCGTGTACCTTTTAATTTATTCTTTGATTATTTTAAATATGTGTGTGAATTCTACCAGAATTCACCAGCTACAATGGAGCTACAACAACCAAAGTTCGTCTAAAATTTCATATATGTATAACGAACAAACGAACTTAATGTTGTAGTGTAAAAATGTCTAATCTAGCGAAGTCAAAAAGCTCATTAAGCCTATATATATATAGCGAAGATCTGTATTGGGTTAACTAAGAAGTTATGCTTCACCAGCTTAGAAGTTGTACATCTCACACGCTGTGATTTGTATTAAGACGCATGTTTTATATCGAAATACGTGGAAATATTGCCTAATGAGTTTAATCAGTGTCTTTTTATGTATTCGATACTAAAGATGGAATTCGTCATTGTTTTTATCAATGATAAAGCTAAGATGTATTTAAAGAAGGCTGAAAAATGGAGGTGTGGAAGTATAATACGCATGGTACAAGAAAGAATCCTGCTTCGGCGATTGATAATATCATTAAGAAGGCTAAACCTCATCAGGTATTCTTGGGTTAAGGGCCGAAAACACCGCTAGGTCGTAGGGTTCCCAGTTGATGGCCTAAGGTAGCCTGGTCATAAAAGCTTTTCGTAATTTATCTGTTACTCATAATTATGACTATTTATTATTAATTGTCAATACAAATGTAGAATATTAGTAGCTCTTCTGATAGAATTTATTACATAATTGTCTCAAAATACATATCATGCGTGTAGCTGAACTATTTGAAAGCATAAGCATTTAAAACTACGCATCGCACACTGTATATACTTGGCTCTTATTATCTCACAACAGCTCCAAGCTTCGGTTAATCATATGATACAACTAATAAAATGGGCATACTAATGATGAACCTGAGACGATATACAGACAACTGTTCAATTCAATGTATGTAGAGAGTTTATTAATAATAATGTATTTCGATGTTAATGTGTCGGATCTACTATCTATGTTTAATACGCAAGGACAATTATTGAATGTCATATGCCTAACCATGCTTACACATACTTAAACGAACATAGATTTTGTCCTGAAAACTTGAAAATTGATTTAAGAGTAATTGCATTGTCTAAATCAGACAAGGTCCGACTTAGAATTACAACTACTACTGAACTGTTATGTTATAAAGCAACACTGGGTTGTTGTCGTTGAACATAAACGCACAGTTAATCCTCTTCAAATCTTCTGGCTCCTAACTTTGTATTCACACCAGTTGTTAGTGTGGCATGGTTTCTATGAGAATGATAAACTATCTTACATGGTAACGTTAGAGTTAATGGTTATGTTATTTAACGTGCTGTTAACCAAATATGCATTGAAAGATAATATATGATATTAGTAAGGACTTAAACAGTGATGTTATGAGTTGGGATAAGGGACTATGTATGTTTATAAGTTAAGTTGATCATATTCTGTAAGATATTTCTTGCCCTAAGCGTCGTATCTAATTTGAATATAAATGAGTCATATATTTGTAACAGTAATAATGCCATCATGGTTAGTGAATCACACGAAGCATGATTTCTCTTAGGTTGTAAGTGCTATGAAACATCACATTGAAGTTGTCTAGAAACTCCTAATGAGCTGGTTGTTGAAATATTTCCAGTCGTTTTATGATGTTTCATTTTGCTTGCTACTCCTCGAAACAACAATTGTTTTTATTGTTTATCATTGCTTGATATTTGTGTTTATTGAAATACAGAACAACTTTCAAATGCTTATGCTTAAAACAGGTGAGTTGGACGATAAAATGAAGTGGTTGAAAAACTTCGAGAGACTTCTAGAAATTCAACGCAACATAATCTGGCCTTCTATTACAGAACTAGATCCAAAGGCCTTTATTCCAGAGGTACATTATTTGTTAAACAACACAAGACTAAAGTGTTGTAGGATTTTATAAATACAGAGTGTCTCATTATTGTGTTATTTATTGAAGATTTTATTATTATGTTTGTTGAAAGAGAACACTGTAGTAGGTGTTTCCGTTTTCTTGTTAATTATTAATAACATTATTAATATTTTATTAAAGTAATTGTATATTTTTGAAACATGTAGTTTTAATTTAAAAAAAATCGAACGAAAAATTTCTTACTGTTTTTATTTATAGAAAACACAGTTCAGATGTTCAATGCTTTTTATAATTAGTGAAAAGCAATGACATGTTATTTTACTATTATTAATTTTCATTAAAATAATTGTAGTTAACGTATTTTTCGGTACATTGTAGTTCGGACTAAAAAAAAAGAAAAACGTCTTATCGCGCTTTGTTTAAAATTTCTTAATCAAAGCAAGGAATCAAATTAATTTGCAGTAACGTATTGCTTTGGGGAAGGGATATTTAAACATTTATATAATCTTTGTATTACGTGATGGAGTTGATAGACATTTAACAGGCTTATGATTTGACTTATATTTGCATCACTACAAAACACATTGACGCTTATAACTATAAAATAAAGGAAACTTAAATATTTAAATTGATTTGATAGGAAAAAATATACACTTAATGATTCATACTTCGGAAATATTTTTACATCGAATTTTTACACTTTAATATCACATTAACGTGTTTTTTTATACAGTTATAAAAAAGACTACTCGTACTAATAGCTACAAGTTTGACATTTGCAAGTTACGTAAATACAACAATAAAACAAATCACTAACGTTAACTAAACAAAAATATTATAAAAGAAAATAACATCTGCCACACATAAGACAAAAATTTTATAAAAGAAAATAACATCTGCCACACATAAGACAAATAAATCAAAGGATAAAAGTCAACTTATATACAAACAGACAAGTAGTAGGACAGAAAGACAGACTGATAAACAGATCTATAGAAAATTAAATGGTCAGATTCACAGAAAGAGAGCAAAATATGTTAATAGGAGGATAAACAGACAAAGGACTGATCGATAATTAGATAAAAATGTATATATTCTGTCTCTTGTAAGAAAATATATTGAAAGAGAGTCAGAAGGAGAAAGAAAATAAAGATTGGAAACTTATTATTTCTAATTTAATGTATTTGCAGTTTCTAAAAGCACCTCTATCAAAACAGCCGTGTGAACGACTGATTGTGAGCCCTAAGAGACAGATAGTCTTAGAAGGTCCTTTACAACTTTTTGGTATGTAAAAACTTGTCAATATATAACGCTACTGTTTTTTCATGTCAGTGACTACCATTTCATAATGCTTTTGCTATCTATGTCTGTAGTTAGTCCTAATGCTACGTCTGTGTCTTCAATTTTGATTGAAGAGTAAAACAATGAAGTTTCAGTTTTTATTGTTCACTACATTAATTGATTGAAGAGTAAAACAGTTGAAGTTTCAGTTTTTATTGTTCACTATATTAATTGATTGAAGAGTAAAACAATGAAGTTTCAGTTTTTTATTGTTCACTACATTAATTGATTGAAGAGTAAAACAATGAAGTTTCAGTTTTTTATTGTTCACTATATTGATTGATTGAAGAAGTAAAGCAGTGAAGTTTCAGTTTTTTTATTGTTCACTACATTAATTAGTCCACACAAACGTGTGGAATTCGACAGTAAATCGTTTTCTCTTGACTGAATTTAGAAACTAAGTTTACTTACAACTACCTTTTAATCTTAATCCGTGCATTCACAGGTTTTCGTTTGTCTTCCAAGTTCACTGAAACTTTTACTGTCTAAACCAATACAGTTTCAGCCCTGTCTTACTTGTATTGAATAATATCCATTCGTTCGTAAATTACCCCTGTACCCATATTTGAACAATAACTGTTGACTTACATTTGTAACCGATGAATGAAACTACGTCTTCCCTTAAATTTAACCAACAGTTTTTCAGCTTATATTCTTTACCTGTGTAAAAGAATACCTTTATCCATAGTTTTAATCAACAAGCTATTAACTTATTTCACGCTCTATCCAACACACGCTCTATAAAGTAATATTTTCGCGAACATCCTACTTTTTATTTTCCTAGGTGCGTTATTTGTGTGTGCGTGTGTGATCTCATTATTTGGGAATAAGTTTTCAAATAACAACTTCATAGTAATTTGAATACTTATTTAATCATTGTTTTTCTCATCACTCAGATAGTGGAAAAACAACCGAAATGTACGTCATTTTATTTGATGATATGTTTTTAATTACAAGACGGAAAAAAGGTCTTCATAAAAAGGTAAGAGTAAAAGAAACTTTAAGCTAAGAAATTATAAAACGGGCTATTGATGTTGTTCAACATTTTTATTTATTTACCTACAATACAGTGTAAACTCGTGTTAAAGTACTGATAAGAAAACTTTTCATCCAAGTGTGGCCTAATCTATCGTTTGATTTATGATTTGTCACTGAGTTATACCTGTGTGAGTAAGTGACATCTGAAAACGCCATAGATAAAAAAAAATGTATCGGCTGAATAAAAACATGATAGTATCCAATTAACAAATATAAAGTAGCCCTATTTTGTGCTCTCTTTCCCATGCCACATTCGTTTGGAAACTAAACTAAATATGGTTCTCTTTAGCAGTATTATCTTCTTTTTTTATACACAGCACAATTTAGAAGTCCGTTAACAGGCAAATAATTCAGAAGTGGAGAGGTATGGAAAATTACTTGTTAACTGTATGCAATAAGGAGTTGTAGACCTACCAAGAGATAATATCATTTGAGTTTATTAAAGGTCACTTTCAAAGTGATGTCCTCCCATGCATTTATGTTATTAATATGCATCAGGAAGATAAATTACGAATTTGTAAACAATAATAAATTAAACATTTAAAATCAATAACAATCAAAAGTATTCGAGAGGATATATCCTCTTCCCTCTACATCATTGTGGATACGGAAGAACAATGGATTCTAAGTTTACAATATATAGGATCAATTCACAAACTTGAGAATTGTTTTGTAGTTTTTTTACGTTTTTCTTGTTCATGAATATTTTTTGTGTTATACTATGTCGATTTGAAAGCTACATGAACATTAATCAATGGATGTAAACAAGAGGCAGGTCTAAATATATTAATACTTTACAAAAACCTTATCTCCGCTATCCTTACTTTGCGCTACTAGTGCCAGTATGATTGATACGCAGCTAATCAAGATAGCAACTATAAAAAATACCTGTTTCGTACTGGTCACAGGATGTATTTCCGTTACCACAATCAAGGCCAATTGCAACTCACAAATCCCCAGCACCAATGCAGAACATCAGCAGCGCTTACAGGGACACTTTGTCACTATGGCCTTGCGATGTAAAGACCATCTTTTTCATCGTCATGCTACTGCATTTTTAATTGCGAAATTTCACCTACAGGATGGTCTTTCAGATACCAAAAAAAAATGTAGGAGGATTTGACTAAAAGGCGCTTCTGGAGACAATCATGGGTAGACAGGTGCTATACACGTGGCACAAAGATAACTAGTCACCACCAGATCTATCTGCTCCTCTTTGGAATAAACATCTAGCACCACTGGATCTCCAGAAATCAATCTAGACAGAAAATGTAGAGATTTGTCAGAAGGTAAACCACAAGTAGCATGTCAGCACCTATTACAAGACCATGAGATAACCACCTGTAGTTATACATACAGAAGGGTTTTACACCACAGAGAGTGAGAGAGCTGATTAGACATTTATCATCTCTCATAGCAACAACATTTTGCGTAAGGCAAATGAAGCATTCAAGTTTCCTACCAGCAGCTCAAGGATGGAGCAAGCTCTTTTCTTGATTGTTAAAAGTGGTGAAGTACAAATAGACAGTACTACCAACAAAATATGTGCACATGACTCGCAAGCAATATTGCATAATGTTAGTCCCAGGATGGGTGACAGAAAGCAAAGCAATATCATCAACTGGATGTATGTGTCAGGCTATGCAGATGTAAAACTAAAAGAAGAAGCTGATATGCTTGCTAGAGAAGCTCTTTTATCAAATCCAGCATAACTCTACTGGCAGGATATCGATTTCCTCTGCACTAATAAGGCAAAACAGAAACACCATGGAAGATGGTCATCAACATTCTTAGGGAATGAGACTGCTTAAAAACACAGTACCGCATGGTGTAGCAAGGATACAAAATGGAGAACAATTACGGCAGTATACAGCGAGAGTGCTATTGCTAACATCAGTGACTCTCTACTACCTTCCGTAAGGTAGTTAATCTCCACATGAAGAGTTAGCATCTGTCGGTACAACTTCTGGAATTATCACCTACTACTCAGTTGAACTCATCTCATTTTTGGGCATATGACGTATATTATTTACATGGCCAAAGATGACTTGGAATGATCTCGATTATATTGTATAGAGTTAGCCCGCAACACCTTTTTCAACTAATTAACTGCTCGTCAATGGACTTCGTACTCACCCTCCATACATATTTATTTCATTCTATATTCAAGTGACCTATGTTATTTTATGATAAACAAATTTATTGACTTGTTAAAAGGTTTGATTATAATCTAACTAATCAAATTTACAATTCCTTCAGAAATATATATATATATATATAACTCGACTGTAGTTAGTTATTTGGAATATTTACAATTATGACAATGTTAAAGCTTTAAGGCTTACGAAATCACGATGTGTTGAGTTTGAAACACCGCTTGGTATGAAAGTTTATTAAGTTTTCTTTAACGTGATCTCTAATATTTGGCATACCTAAATCACCTCAAGTGTTGTTCAGGCTTATACTTACATTAAATTAACTTTTATAAGTTTCTGAATACACTTTTTCCATAAGAGTGTATTTTTTGTTCTGTTTAAGATTAACATTTCTTGAATAATGGATACAGCAGACTACTTTGGAATTCCTACTTGTGTAAGTATTTTATAAATGCATAATGTCTCTCTATTACTAAAGTCTACCAAAAACAAAATATCAATGGCCTTGGTGTCAGTTTTACAATTATGTTAAGTGTGTTTCGTTTTTTTCCGTTACAGAAATCGTCTATAACAGAGAACTGGGCAAGTTCTTCTGGTAGAGGTTCCACGTCACAAGAGAGCGGCTTCAAATATGTCGTATACAAGCAACCATTGTCACTTGATAGGTTCTTTATTCATGACGTCAGCCCCCAAGATGGCGCTCGTAAGTGAAGAAGTTCAAATATATTAAATGAATTTAATAGTTTTTATCAATTTTTGTTTGAACCTATATTACTGGAAATAAATAAGCATTGATTGGCCGCTATTAGGGTCTCACTTAATAATTGGTTGGGCTACTTTTCGTCGCATTAACAGTCTGAAATTGGCGAGGCATAAATTATAAAAAAAATGTTGAAAGGTTTCTTGTTAAATTGTAGCCTATTTCTGCAGTTGATTCACAGGTGCTATCAGAGGATTTCGGAGTCGAAGCGACATCTAAAGTCTCATTAATGATCGAAACTCGGCCATTGGTCTGGTTAATGCAGCTGACTGGAACTATCAAAATCGCACCAGTGTGGGTCATGTGTTTCATATGTTTTTTGTTTATTTTTCATATCATTACTCCTCTGTCAGTATAGAAAAAGGTTAAGTGCGACTCATCCGACTACACAACACCCTTCATTGTTCACATGGCCAGGTGGTTAGGGCGCAGGTTCGAATTCCCGCTCCAACAAACATGTTTGCCCTTTCAGCCATGGGGGCGTTATACTGTGATGGTCAATATTTATTGGTAAAAGAGTAGCCCTAGAGTTGACGGTGGGTGGTGATGGCTAGCTACTTTTCCTCTAGTCTTTCATTGCTAAATTAGGGACGGCTAGCGCAGATATCCCTCGTATATCTTTGCGCGAAATTCAAAAGAAACCAAACCAAATCATTTTTCACAATTAACACACCATTCCAGTTGTGCTTCCCTGTTAGCATAAGAGATAGGCGATTTTCAGACTGGACATAGGTTAGTACAGATGGAGATAGTAAAGTCTTGAAAATTTCTGAAGAATTCGATCAATGTTTGTTTGTAATTAAGCACAAAGCTACACAATGGGCTATCTGTACTCTGCCCACCACGAGTATCGAAACCCGGATTCTAGCGTTGTAAGTCCGCAGACATACCGCTGTGCCACTGGGGGGCTCGATCAATGGAAAACTACCCAACGTGTTTTGCAAATAACAAGCCTATCGATAGTTTTTTTTCTCAGTACGTTACCAGTGGTTCGTTGTCGACACAGTTTTTTGATGGAAGACGTATTACATACAATTGTTAATGTGGATAGAGCCTGATAAGTGGTTTTGAAATACCATGGAACACATGAACAATTTTTGATAACGATACTCATACTAATAGACAATAAATTTACTGTAATTCAACTAAATATTAGATAATGATGCCCCTTCTTTTACAGTTACTTGACACGTCACCTGATTAAACTATCATGCAAATAACTGGGACGTTCTACAAATGTATGTGTTAAGGTTTGTATGTTTTTAATTATGCACAAACTAAACACAAGGGCTATCTGTGCTCTGCCCACCACGGGTATCGAAACCCGGTTTCTAGCGTTGTAAGTCCGCAGACATACCGCTGTGCCACTGGGGGGCATGTGTTAAGGAGGAGGGTCCTAATAAAGTGCCCACTCAGTGTAGAAACTTCGTATGTTTCCATTTATATGTCTCTCTCTCTTTTTATTTAATTTTATTTTTAAAGTGAAAGCCCAAATTTTGAAAGGTATTTTTAAATCATTGCCTTTTATACCTACTTGTATGGTTGTGTTATAATAAATCAAACACATTGTTTCATTGCATACTTATGAAAAATGCCTCTCTGTTTTCGGCTTACTCGTAGAGAACAATCTAAAGCATGCCTTCGTTCTTGTCCTGTTAAACCGGTTCCAACAAGTTGTGGCAGTATATACTTTCCAGAGTTCCAATGAAACCGTCAAGGTAAGACAACAAAAGCTCTTTAAAACACTCCAAGTGTAGCGTTATGTATAACGTTTCAGGAACTTGTATTTCTCACACAACTATCTCTACTGTTATTTATAGATTTACCACAATGAAATAGTTTCTTTCTTCTCTGACAATAGAAATCACCTTGCATAGTTACGTTATGAGTCGTAAATATATTGCCTTTCTACAAACATTTAGCTAATTTAAAACTTACTTTTTTTATTTTAATACCTTAATGTAATCTTTACTTTTATCATTGCTTTAATGCAGTCTTACTGCCTTTACGTACCGGACTTCCTTATGCATCCTATATCTAGCAATATTTTTTCATTGCCTTCATAGAGCTTGATTCCTTTCGCTGCCTTTATGTTGTCCTAGGCCTTCACAGGTTTTACGTAACCTTAATGTCTTATATGACCTTACATATTTTTATTCGTATATTCTATAGTTTTTACTTATTTAGAAAAGCCCTGGTGCTAAGAATGTTAATTTAAACTCAAATGAATTTCATTCATTTATACTTTGAGCCCACTTAATTTCATGTAAACCTTTCATTATCTTCTATTCCAATGATGTATAATCTTTATAGCGATAAGCTACAAACATTCTACTGTTTTATATTTCCAAGTATGAACGATGAGTTTATGCGTTATGCCAATACAAGGAATTGACCACTATATCTGTCTACTGATGACTTGTACAGCTATAAAAAAGACAAAATGATAAACCGTACGTTAAAACATAAGTTATTTACAGTTTAGAATATATTCCATCACATTATTGACTTCTTTATTCCACTTCAACACACCGGTAGTTAGAAGTCATTGTTAACTACCGGTGTGTTGAAGTAAACTGACTGATAGTGAATAGTGACTTTTATATTTCACGTAAACATGCCTGTGGTAAACAGTTACTTTTTTATACCACATAAACCGCCGGTAGTGAATAATGACTTCTTTGTTAGGCGTAAACAAGTCGCTAGTGAATAGTGACTTATTTATTAAACGTAAACACGCTAGTAATAAACAGTGACTTTTTATTCCACGTAAACCCAGTAATAGTGAATTGGTACTTCTTTATTCTACATACACACGTCTGTAGTTAACAGTGACTTATTTATTCCATGCAAGCACGTCAGTAGGGAATAGTTACTTCTTTATTCCATGTAAACAGACCGATAGTGAACAGTGACTTCTATATCCCACATAAATACACCGGTAGTTAACAGTGACTTATTTATTCCATGCAAGCACGTCAGTAGGGAATAGTTACTTCTTTATTCCACATAAACACACCGGTAGTGAACAGTAATTTCTTTATTCCACATTAACACACCGATAGTGAATAGCGATTTTTTATTAACTTGAGCACGTATATACTAAATAATTACTTCTTTATTCAATGCAAACCGCCAGGGGTGAACAGTCACTTCTTTATTACATGTAAACACGGCGGTAGTGAACAGTGACTTCTATATCCCACATAAACACACCGGTAGTGAACAGTAATTTATTTATTCCACATTAACACACCGATAGTGAATAGCGATTTTTTATTAACTTGAGCACGTATATACTGAATAATTACTTCTTTATTCAATGCAAACCGCCAGGGGTGAACAGTCACTTCTTTATTACATGTAAACACGGCGGTAGTGAACAGTGACTTCTATATCCCACATAAACACACCGGTAGTGAACAGTAATTTATTTATTCCACATTAACACACCGATAGTGAATAGCGATTTTTTATTAACTTGAGCACGTATATACTGAATAATTACTTCTTTATTCAATGCAAACCGCCAGGGGTGAACAGTCACTTCTTTATTACATGTAAACACGGCGGTAGTGAACGGACACTTTGTTACACGTAAACACACCGAAAGTGAATAGTGACTTTTTTATTAAACGTAAACACACCGAAAG